GGTTCAGCATGATAGTTTGAATTTGCCAGATGTTAGTGGGTTGACTTGCAAAGAAACAAAGAACAACCCTCCACAGTATTCCCTCCAAGAAGTCATTGCAGAAGAGTAACACAGATTTTTAAATCCACTGGTCAGAATTGTCCTGATATTCAGACCATCTGCAAGCAAAATGAACCAGCTCAGTTCTGTAATATTATAACCAATATAATGGGGTCTGCAAGCAAGCAGGTGAACATGAGATGCTCTTCACTACAGGGTGCCTAGGGAGAACGGTCCCACACACTGGGTCTGATCTGTGACTAATTTTCTTTATGAATGGAGGAGCAAACAAAGTTATTGCATGATGCAGAGCCCAGCCTTCCTTTTCAGAAGAACCATTGTGTTCAGAGAAATCTTGACTCCAGCCGTCTTGAAATCATGAGAATTCTCTGTGTTTTATTATGTTTTGAATCAGGCTCACAGGGAGCATATCAGAGAGGCATTTCAAAATCTGCTGTTCTAGTAAGGGATGACCTTCCACTTATTTTCTGGAATGCCTCTCCTAAATCCTTCATTTCCTACCTGTTAAATTTTTGTGTGTGGCACCATACAGTGAATAACATCATATAAACACGCCCCCACCCCAGTATCAGTAACATGATATAAAAAGTCAGACCTTTATGTTAAAGATGATCTACACACAAAAATTTTACTCAAGTCATTTAATAAAACAATTTTGTTAAAAAATTACTTAGTAATGATTGGGATTTTACATAGAAAATTCAGAAATTTCAAAAAACTGGCACTATATATAATAACCTGAATATATGAAAAGTTTTAGACAAATTTGGTAGTAAGGTCCACAGAAAACCTATGCAGAACAGAGATCACCCATTCCTGAGTTAACAGCATTTCTGTTGATGTTCTTCTGAAATAACATGACTGCAGTGTAGAATATTCTCCTTCTACCTGAGCCTTTGTGCTAGGTACATTTCTTCATCCATTTCCTGACACTGATGTTACACGTGCCTTCTCCTGACACAGTTAAGAGGCTCTCCAAATGTCTGTCTCTGAGGCCTAACAGAAGTACTCTCAATGAAAAGCAGTGTGTACAGTGAGCAGCCTACAGGAGACAAAACCCCAAAGCTTCCTACACTGGCTAGCAAGAGATGCTCATCCAGTAGCTGCCCTGAATGCCAGGGCTGCCACAGAAAAGCTTACTGCCTTCTTAGCCAACTCGTTCTGCAATAAATAAGACTCCCCTGTGAGAAATACAATTTTGCTTAATATACTATTGCACATCATTAAGTCTCAAAAATTTTGGAGAGTGATGACAAGAGATAGAGGGTGAGAGTAAGCAAAGGGCAAGGGTGAGAGAGAGAAGGATGAGGGAGGGAAGAGAGTGCACAAGACAGCAAGAGTGAGAGGGAGCAGGAAGGGTGTGAGAGCTGTGAGCAAAAGGCCCAAGAAAGTGTCAGCCTCTGCAAGTCCTTCCATTCCTACAGCATCCCTACCAGCCCTGTGCCACCCAGCTTGTCGGGCCCTGAGCCATGGCAGCACAAGTCAGTTGGTGCCACACAGCAACAGTGATGGTGGGCCTGGAGCCCACATGAGGGCCAAAGCATCTTCTCTGATTGCCTGAACTGGCCAGTCAGCACCTATCTTGTCTATCAAAGATCCTCAGGACACCTTCTCTGTCTTTCTGCCAAAGAAACCACTGCCACATCTTCAATGTCTGTATTTGAATATTACATTTCAGAAGACATTTCCTGCATATAGGTTAGGCTGCTCTATCAAAGTGCATCTTTCCTCTATACATATACTCATTTATGTAAATTTTTCCTTCATAAGGCTTTACAATATATCTGAAGTGTTTAAAAATATTTATCTAATAAATAGTACATGAAAATATTTTTTCAGTGTTTACATATGAAACATAAAAAAATATCATTGTAAGATTACTTCTTCAATTTCATCTTCTAAAGAACCAAGGGTCTGAACTCCTGCCTTACTTGCAAAGTGTTGCAAACTGTGTCTGGTTAGGTTTCTTCCTTCACTGAAGAGCTCATAGTCTTCTTTTCCTTTGACTTTATTGTTTTTATCAACAAGAGGAGCATTACTAGCGTCCCAATCTATGTCAAAAGGTGTTGTATCTTTAGTTTTAGAGAGAAGGACGGTACTGGCACTGCTTCCAAAGAGTTGTGTCATTAAACTGGACTTCCTTTCTTTTTTACTATTGAAGTCTGCATTTTCCTGAACATTTTCTTCTAAGTTGACACTTTTTTGAGAAAGCCAACTTGGTCTCCCTAATCCTTTCCCAAAGGAAGGTACATAACTGCCAAATGTTAGCCCACTGCTTAAATCTACGGTCCTTAGGTTACGTTGTTTCTGCCCTTGTGCTCTTGTGGCATCGTCCTGGAAATCATCCGTGGGAAATCCATTAGTAACTTTGCTGGGAATGTCAAAGAATTGATTAGCTTTTTCTTTTTTCTCCAGGAAATCAGATTTTCTGGTTGTATTTATGAGTGGTGATTGGGAAGCAGGTTTCATGTTTGTTACATTTTGAGTTTCTCTAGGTTACGTTGTTTCTGCCCTTGTGCTCTTGTGGCATCGTCCTGGAAATCATCCGTGGGAAATCCATTAGTAACTTTGCTGGGAATGTCAAAGAATTGATTAGCTTTTTCTTTTTTCTCCAGGAAATCAGATTTTCTGGTTGTATTTATGAGTGGTGATTGGGAAGCAGGTTTCATGTTTGTTACATTTTGAGTTTCTCTATCAACTTCTTGCATTTTGGCAAGCAGGAACGCTCTTTGGTGCCGCTCTT